TGGGGAGGAAGAGGAGATCTCAGCAGGCCTTCTTAAAATATCATGGCCAGAGGTTTTTACTATAGTGTGCTAGAACCACTCCACAGTGCAAGAATCAATGGACTTGTCTTGCGGATGGATTTCCTCCACTGACATCCCTTCATGAAAGAAAGAACAAGCAAGCCATAGATGGCTGCAGTGAAGAGGCAGGAGCACTGGGTACTTACAGCATTTTAGATATTTGGTTTTTTACAGGTATATGTTAAACATTTATGGAGGCAAACAATATATATTCAGCAGACTAACATTTTTAGAAACATGTATCCCAAATTGCTTTGCCTCTATCCTTGCCAAAAACTCTAGGTTTATCATGCAGCCACAGCCAAACATACATGAGTGTATTTGATGTCTCATGGAATATGTGAAGATGAAATTTCCAATCTCAGAGCTAAAGAGGAATAGGAAGTGGAGATGAGGTTAATTGGGTAGAGCAAAGTGGAGTTGTTTCAGGCAGTCGTTTAGATCTAGTTCTCTTTGGAGTTTACATCCATAACTAGATGGGCCCTCCCTGGTATCGTGGCTGAAGGAACCAGCATTTCTTTCTGTTGCATAAAAGTATTATAATAACCATCCATGCTACTGCACCATCCTGTAAGATGCCATTGGCCCATGCCCTTTCTCCCCTATTGTCATTGATCTTCCAGGCTAGTAAACAGGATGCAACTGAACGCATACATGTGCAACCTTGTTTAAACCAATTCCTTCTCTTTAGCTGGGTGGAAAGGGTGTTATCATTGAAGTTCTTGTGGCCTCTCCCATTGAAAACACTCCCCAGCCATTTCCTAACAATCTGCTCACATTGAGGAAGCTTTTAGTAATTATTCTGAATTACTGAAATGCAATTTGCCTGCCAAAAGAAATGGCCAGAATGTCTGCTCATCATATTATTATTCCAAATTAATCCAACAATCTGAAAAAGATATGCATTCAGAGGATATTATTCTGCTTCTGAAACTTACTTTCAGTGACCTATTAGGTTACCTGCTAATTCTTAGCCTCTCTCTCTGCAATCAGGATTTATCAGTTTTTGATAAGAGAAAATAATTTGCTTTCCTCTAATATGAAGCAGAAAGATTAGAACTACATCACAGAATTAATGATAAATTCACAGAGGAGAATAAACTTAGGACAACTTTCCATCCTTTTAAAAAATTGTTTAAGAATAATTATTCTTAAGAGCAAGAATAATTACAGTGCTTAACAATGTTGTAACTTGGGGATAGAAATGAACTTGTCTGGGGTATGCTGGAGGATAACATGTTTAAATTCCATTAAAAGTTGCCATTACTGAGAAGTGGACCTCATGAAAACATAGTGCTTGGAACTTTCTGAATCTAGAATAGATTAAAAAAATATTTTTCTTAAAAATATTTCTTGTGGCTTCTTCTGGAGGAAAGCTGGTATCTCAAAAAGGGAACAAGGTAATCTGGAGTTTCTGAGAAATTCAGCAGAGCTTTCTTGGGAGAATATATCACCAATGCAGAATATCTGGAAGACCATCTCCCTAATCAGGTATCATAATTTCAGATAGTATAACGTATAAATATACAGGCTGATTATATCTTCCTTCAAAGTTAACAATTACTTTTATTTGAATTTGCAATTATGATCTAACTTCAGGTAAGAAACTGAGTCAATAATTGAAAAAAGAAACTTAGTGAAGATTTGTGTTTTGTCAAAGAGGCCAGGAAGTTATGTTAATAAATTCAGATCTTGCAACAATAGGATCAGTCAAGTATTCTTCTATAATCATCTATTTCCTTGTTTGGAACTTTCATCTGTTTTTTTTAAATATTTAAAACAATAAATATTATTCATTTATTTGTTTCCTAACTTTTGTATTTTTATTCTGTACCCAGCCTCTCATTGCAATATTGTGCAATACTTTATTTTTTTTTATGTACTATGTTTCTAGAGTTTCTCAAAAGTTACTCTATTATAAAAACAAAATTGGAAGTCATATTTCTTTTTATAGTTTTTTCTCTCTCTCTCTTTCGTAGTTTTGGCTTTGTTTTCTTTCTTTTTTTCCTTATCTTAATTATTAATTTCTGTTAGTTTTTAATATCTTTTTAGGCAAACAAATAAAATTATTATATATTTCAGAACTTGTTTTCACCCTTGCCTGTTACTGTTCCTTTGCCTTGAATTCAAATATAACCTTTGTTGTTTTGAATAATTGTGAATAAAATACAAGAGTTTTGTCCTAGCTGTTTTTATTCAGACTTTCAGATCAGAAATTTGTATTTCATAATCAGTGATTTCAGAAATATCTAGACTAGGAGGTTCTACTTCTACTAACAAAAGGCACTGTCCAACATAGGTCCAGCATGCATATCCTGTGATTTTTAAACTGATCTGAACATAGCTCAGCTCAGCTTTCCATATATTATCTACTGTTTTCACAAAAGTAATACTTTGAAAGTGTTTGTATTTTGAATGTGGATCAATATTCATTTTGTCATAAATATACAGTATTGTCTAACTTCAGTGAAGTGATAAATGAGTTTTGAAATAACATATCTAATAAGGATTAAGTCAAAATTCTGTAGGACTCTGTAGGATTAAACAGAAAAAACCCAAAAGAATTGGTTAACATTCTTTCAACCCAGGTTTTTTTTTTTAACAAAACAGAAAAGATGGCAGAATTAATTTTCTTTTTCCAGTTCATCAAGTGATTCACAAACCTTATGTCCCTGTATATATTGAACAGCCTAGTGTAATTCAGTACCAAGATCATAAGACATTATCAGGTTTTCAAACTTGGTGAGTAAAAAGTCCATAAAGGTGTTCCAGAATATCATAAAAATAGGGTTTATTTTTAACCTTGATCAAATAAGCCAACGTTACATTTTTCTTTTATTTCCTAAAATCTTAATCTTTAATTTATTCAAATATTGTTGCACGATTTGATCTCGCTTCCATTTTTCTTTGTCCCACTGCATAGGCTTCTTCAAGGCTTTAATAAATCTCTTTCTAAATCCAATAATAAAGAGACTGTCTTTAATATTTTAAATGTTGTAGTGCTTCATGTCATTTTGTAAATTCCAATCTAAGACAAAACCACGGGCAAGGGTTTTTGGCTTTTGGTCTGCATCTTTAGCCCCTGTTAAATCATAAAGCCTCTATTCTCTGTTATAAGTTTTGTTCAGAAATATAGACTCACAAGATGTCTTTTCAAATGACATTCCAAACATCTTTAATAGGGCTCAGATAATTAAACAGTCAAGTATTTAGAAGCAAGATTAGCAAATGAATTATCTTTCAAAAGGTTCTGCTTTGATTGTGAGCTTAATTATTGATCCCTACGCCTCCCAGCACTAAAGTCTGTGGAGGACCACTGCCTTGCAATCTCCTTGCGAGGAGCAAGTGTTCAGGGTATATGTGGGTGATATCTCATCCTCCACTTATTCAGAGAGGTTCTACTGGTTCTTCAGTCTTTCCCATGGTTCTCTTTGCTCTCCATGGAGACTTGTTTAGTTTTTCATGTCTCTGTTGGAAATCCTTTCCTTGTTTCTGTTTCTAAATTCAAAGCAGTTACTTAATATAAATCTGTATGGTCGATTGGATACACAATAATAGTGAAAACCTCAACTAGTTCATTACTAACTACATTTTTAATAGATTGAGCTCATTATGGCTCAATTATTGAGCTCATTATGGCTCTGTTGGAGATATCAAGAATCAAATTGGGGACCTTTGTACAGGCAAGGCATTTTAGTAACTCAGTCCTGCATTTAGTCTTACAAAATCATCAAGACAAAATTATAAGGATTTGCCTTGTACTGTACCTGAGAGGAAATTGTTGGCAGTCTTCAAAATAATGCCAATTGAAATATTTAGCTAAGGATGTCAGAGTCAAGAGTAAAAGCACCAACTCTACCCCTTACATTCTGCTTGTTTTATGACTGCTGTTAAAAATAATGAGTGTGTGTACATGTGTCAGGGCAAAACTGATGAAGCACTGATGTTAAGTTCATATGATCTTAGTATGAAGGTGGTGAGTAGGAGCCATATATTATATAATTTTATTCCAGAGTTGTCATAAACTTCAGGGCAACAATATATATTTTATTGTTTATAAAAATGAGGCTGATTTAAATGAAGTATGGAAAAAGCTGCTTAAGACACTTGTCCCCCACAAGTCATTAATAATAATGTTAATCTGCTGTTTCATAATATTCAAGGTCTTTATTATACAAATAGAAAATCCACAATAAAGTGCTGAGCCCTAATCTATCCTCTATCAATATAATAATCATCAACAAGTTGAAGGTATCTTGAAATTTAAATTCTCAATGGTCAAATGAGAATCTATTAAAATGTTTTTCAATTTCAGTTAGGACTGCTACAATATAGATAACTAAACTAAGCTAAACTAAAATGTGATTGATTTGTTTTTTGGTTACGGTAATTTCCTGCCAGAAACTATACCATTTAATCATCAGATTATAGGTAAATAACCAGGGGTGGGATTCAATTTTTTTAACAACCGGTTCTGTGGGCGTGGTTTAGTTGGTGGGCATGGCTTGATGGTCATGTGACTGGCTGGGCGTGGCCAACTCAATATCACTCACATCTAGGCACACATCTCCTTGCCTGACTTCTCATGACTGTGGGGATGCTGCAACAGTCGTAAGTGTGAAAAATGGTCATACGTCACTTTTTTCTGTGCCATTGTAACTGTGAATGGTCACTCCACACAATCAAAGTACCAGCAAAGGAGGGAAAAAAACCTCCAGAGAAGTTCCAGAGACAGGAGATCTAGTCCTGCCAAGAATGTAATAAGGGTTAGCGGAGAGGCAGTTTCTGTAAGCAACACCAGAATGTTTCCTTCCTGCCTTCCTTACAGGATTAGGCCAGTATTTTTTTCTAACAACCGGTTCTCCGAACTGCTTAGAATGTTAACAACCGGTTCTAGCGAATAGGTGCGAACCTGTAGAATCCCACCCCTGTAAATAACCCATAGCTCAGCACAATTTGTTTACCTAACCAAAAAAAAATGGTGGATTTCCTCATTTGTGAGATTACACAATCCAAATTTTTATTTAGACAATTCGAATTGTTAAAACAAAGTACAGAATAATGCTGGCCCTCGGGAAAGATGGAAAGTATTATCATTCAGGAAAAAGAAATTGTTTAGGTTATTGGAACTCTCATGGAAAATATCAGGGCTTATATCAGCAAATCCTATAATCTATACTGTTAGTCATGAAATGGGTGTATAAACAAAGTGGTGTAATATACACTGATACTTGAGGGATGTGCAAACACCTAGCCAGATGCATAGCAGGAAAAGCGAGTAATAGGAAGGTGCATCATTAGTTCACCTCTGTGTCTTGCAACAACGCCTTCTGCCTTTCTTTTCTCTCAATATTTTGGTCTGCGGTATCAGTAAAAAAAACATGAATATCTTCATTTATGTAAATAGAGACACCAGAGGCTCAGGGAGAAATGGTTCATTCAAGTACTTTTCCTGTAATTGTACTCCAACTTCAACTCATCACTGCGCTTAAACATTTCCAATAGGCAGGAATCATTCTGTATCTGTTTCTAGAAGATAAAGCAAGGAGTAACTTGTGGTATCCTAAAATCCACCAGTGAAATGTAAAACTTCTTCAGGCAATTCATAATTGAACTCACCTCATGGATGCCAGTAGGACTCATTGATGAGTAAGCATGTTTAGAATTCTAACTTGTCACATGACTTCCTTGAATATTTCTTAGAATTAAAGAGAAGACACGCCCCCTTTCTTAAGCTCTTGCCACGGCCAATTCAAGGCTTGTCATAAGTATCTCTGAAAGGGCAGTTCTTCACACTTGACAGACTAGTATGAAATGTAAGTATATTACTGTGCATTGTTTTTTTCATATGCTACTGTACTAGATTTAGACTTAGTTTGGATTTCTTTCTATCTCAGAAAGCAAAGACACACACAAAAGAAATAGTGACTTTTTCTTATTCTTTTGCTAGATCTTAAAATTAATTTTCATTGATTAATTTTCATTAAATGAAAATGTCCTAATGTTATATTTATATGGAAAACAATCTAATTTTCTTTTTTTAAAAAATGGAATTTTCGGCCACCTGTTGTTCAGTCATTCAAGCATGTCTAGTTTTTTATGATAAAATGACATTTCAGCAGGATAGACAGTCAGTAACTGTTACTTTGAGTTTTTGGAAGTGCTTGTTTATTTCACCAGTTGTAGCATTGAACCACTTTGTCTTCTGAGCTCTCCTTTTCAATTGCCTTCAGCTTTCCTATTATTAGCATGTTCTCCAGTGGCTGTTGTCTTCATTTCATGTGTCTCAAAGACTTTTGCTTCTTTATTAATGATTCCACTGTAGATTTTAGCTTTTCTCTAACTTTTCTTAAATAATTAATTCTTGCAGCTCAAGGTACTGTATTCTTAAAAATTGCCTCCAGTTTCACAATTCCAAAGCATCTTTTTTTTTTCTTCCTTCTGCCTTTCACAACATTCAGCTTTCAGAGTAATAAGTTACAGTCATAACAATATGTGGTTTTGTAATCAATATGATATCCCTGCAATCAATCAATCAACATTTTTGTCTATGCCTTTAGTAAAGAAACAGATACCTGTTTATTCCATGGATACAGTCACCATTTAAATGTTTCAGTACACAGAGAGGGGGAGGGAGGGGGGAGAGGGAGAGAGGGCAACAGGACGCTTTTTTGTACTTTTCTACTTTAACAAGAGATTCCTTATGTCTTTCTTACCATCGAAGTGGTATCATCAGAGTATCTGAGATTACTAATACATTGAATTACTGATTTTAATTCTAATTTCTATTTCTTGTAGGTCTGCATTTGTCATTACATATTCCACATATAAGTTAGTATATAAACTTGGTAAATTCTTAAATAACTCTCTTCTCTTTTCCATTTAATCCTTATACTCAATTTTTTTGCATTGCTTGCTTAAATATAAATCCCTGCCACTTCATTTTCTCTAGAACTCACATTTTGTTTAGCAAATTTTCCTACATATATACACACATATTTTTTGTTGTGGTCACTGACCACAATATAACTATCAACAGCAGGTAGAACAGAATACAACTGTGTGTGACTAATGACTAGTTCATTGATATAATCAAAGTAGACCTAATTTTGCAGAGAGAATAATGATATTTGCCCACTGTGGAAACTCAGTCGCACTCGTCTGATATTAATAACTCTGTGTAGAATAAATTGAGGTTGCCAGTTTATTCTATACATTATTTCATTTCCAGTTTCTCTAGACACGTTTATCAGTCTAATTTACTTCCATCACATAGTCATAATGAATATTGATCATATTTCATTATTTTGTTTTCTCTGTTCTAAGTTGTTCTTTTAGGTGTTTGTAATCCACATGGTGGTCTTTTTTTGCTGACTGATGACACTAGAGCTTCCATTTTTGCTTGTAATATATGTAGATAATTTGATTTTGGGTTTGTCTGTCCAGTGGAGATCTTGTGTAATCTCTTAGGTTGATATAGGAAAGTATTTGCTAAAAACACTGCATCTTTTTTTTGGCAAAACTGTTATTTGTCCCCTATTCACTTTCAAATACCAAGGCCAAATATTCCCATTACTCCAGAAGCTATTTTACTTCCACCTTTAGCATTCCAGTGCCCTATATTTATTATGGCATCTTTTCTAGAGTAGTGTCAATAAGATGTTGCAAGTTATAATGGAATTGTTCAGCTTCCACTTCCTTTGTATCTGTGGTTAGAACATATACTAGATCACTGTAACAGTGATTAGTTAGCCTTCAACTTGAATCGAGATGATCTATCTTTTTGAGACTGTGTCCAAACATTTGTACATATTTACCTGTTTACACATTTATATAACCAGATATCTACCCAGGAAAGATGGCAATCAGATTTTTTAAAAAAATCATCCAAATTTTACAAATAAAAAAAGAAACATTTGCATACTTTTTAAATAATAATAATTAGTTGGTTTTTTCCCCCTATGATTTGATGGGATCTGCAGAGGGTTCCTTTGATGGGAATTCCAATATATTTCAGTTCTTTAATTCCTAAAATGTTGATATGCAGTCTTGGCATATGTTGATATGCAATCTCCTAATGCCTCTGGGCTCATCACATCTAGATGTCCGTTCAACTTTAATGATGTAACTGTAAAATTATCAGTGCTACTTGCCCCCTACTTTTCCCTGGTTGATTGTTCAATATCTTCCAACACAGAGGGTGGCTAATTTTCTAGTTATCAGGCTGGCATTGCCTTGGCTATAAATGTCTATTTGGTTTCTTAACACAGTACTGTTAAGTATTTGAAATAATATTCAAATAATATTTGAAAAAAAAATCTTGAACATAAAGATGCTTGATTGGAGCATTGAACTGCTTTTTTGAAAATAACATGCTCTGCTTTGAATAAGCCAGTTTATTGAGACAAGATACCTCCTATCAAATCAGGTACCAGAGCAGTGCTCCAAGAAGCTCAGCAGTATCAGGCCAAGTGTCCCTGCAGTTGGAACACCAGCACTCCTCCTTTTCCCCTGCTATCACTTGCTGTAAATAAAACAAAAAACAAAACAAACAGGACTTCCTGGGGTGAGTTTTTAAGCATGAAGACTCCTCCAAAACAGAGGCTGCCCCATCCACAGTTAGCAGGTATGCAAATGTGCTTGTCATGATTTGAAATGATACAAAACTGTTGGTGATACTGGGGCTAAGATGCTATTAGGAGGCCCTGATGTTCTGCTGTATTGATTTTATTTGCTACAACTATTTCTATCCTGCTTTTCAAAGCAATGTTCTTCCTGACGCAATATAAGCCATTAGAAATAGAAACGTAATATGACTCCTCTCAAGGGGCAGATTATGATGCCACCCTTACAGGAAGGAATATGTTCAACTTTTATTTCCACGATTGTAAGTGTTTGTGGAAGTGGCAGGTGGGGGAAAGGGACAAATGACAAAACATATGCGGGTATGTCACAATACCTTCCTGTGACTTACCTGCTTGCTTTTTGTGCTCTTCCTAAATGCCCATTTAAATTGCTTTCCATTCTCACTTTTCTTATAGCATTTATTTGTTGGTTCATTTATCAGACTTTAGATGCCTCTTACATCATAAACTCTGGGAACTTGTACTCCTAAAAATATAAACAAACAAACAGTTCCCAGATAAAAAATATAAACTAGGAACAACATACTGGATGAAATGAAATATAGAGCATCACGGAGGCTAACCACCTAAATTCCCAAAGTCCAATCAAAGTGGATTGAACAGAAACAAGCCATTTCTACAAATACCACATAAATCAATTCTTCCTTCCTGGCTTACAATATTAGACATTCTACATAATAAACCACTGACTGAGACCTAACAGAGAGCATCTCCATACACTCCATCAATAAAATAACCATTTTTTCTCATTTTCTAGGGAGTACTGAAAGCTACGGGTAGTAAGTTCAGTTATTTTCCCAATTTATGCAAACTACCATTTGCAGCACTCTTTGGACAAAAAGTCTTGAAGGTAAATGGACACAAAACTGTATTTTAAGTAAAAAGATAAAATGTATTGACTTCTCCGATCAGGGATGGCTAGCAGTCACTGGAAGGGGCAGAATTTTGTGATATTCTTTTCCTTTTCCATCTTTCAATTTCAGGAAAGTTGAATGTAATGCTTATGACAAACCTTAGTCTCTACCACCTCTTTGCATCCGGAAATTTTTGTGTGTGTACCTCTGATGAGTTATCTTCTGGTTTTATCTGACCATAATTATCTATTACAACATTATATTGAAATTAATAAATCATCAGGAATGAATTGTAGAGCTGCAGTGTCCCACACCCCAATCTACCACATTTGCAGACTGTAAAGCTGGAGTGAACTTCAACAGTTTTGAAGGGAACACATCTATGCAAAATAGTCACCATGCAGAGATAATTTCAAATCCCAACTGCTGGTAATAATACTTTTCTTCCATTATTCTTTGTACTAAAGAGCTCAGAATGACACCACACCAAAAAATATTGTTGGGGTCCTAAAGTTGATATAACGGATAAGGTATTTATAAAATAAGTTTGGCATAAAATAATTATCATTTCTGTTCTTGTAATGGGATATGGTGAGACACCCCCCCCCCCCAATTTATTACATATTATCATCAGTGGTTTGGAATAGTTATCAATTTGACATCTGCTGTTCCAGTGGCATGGTATCCACGGACAGGAAAATGCCCATATCAAATCAGTGAATGGCATTTCACTGGAAGAGATTCTTGGTTTCCCACCTTCTAGGACAAGGGTCTTCAAACTTGGCAAGTTTAAGACTTGTGGACTTCAACTCCCGGAATTCCTGAGTTTACATGACTGGAGGAGGAATTCTGGGAGTTGAAGTCCAAAAGTCTTAAAGCTGTCAAGTTTGAAGAGCCCTGTTCTAGGACGTTGGTAATAGCATGATTAGGTTAAGAAACCAAATCCAAAATTACTGCTAAACTAGTTATGGGCATCTACATATAACAAGAGATGGAGCTTTGATTACATTGTCCCTTTTTCCATCTTGACTTTTTTTGACACTGTCTACCTCAATACCATTATTAGGCATTTGAAAAGCAATGTGAGTTTGTCATAGTGATTAACACAGAAACTTTAGGAACACTTGTAATTCAGTTTATTTTTTGTGATAGGAGGGAAAATGACATGTGTACATACAACTCAGAGGAGGCAAAGTGAAGCACGGACTTACTAATAGGTGCTTCACTGGGCACAAAGCCGGTAAAGCCTTGTCACTGATCTTATCTGATTAAGGAAATGGTGAAACAAAAAAGGGACTAGAAGATGATATAATTTCTTAAACATTTCATTACCATGTGTCAGACAATTTTGTAAAGGTTCTCTGGCTCCTGGATTTTGATGATTCTAGGCATAGTGATGTTCATTTGCTGATGACTTAAACCTGTGTCATTTTGTTTGTCTGTCTGAAAAACCTTTCCTGGTTCATGAAAATAAACAAATAGGCCTATTAAAAGTATGCTTCATTATAAGAACTAGGAAGTTTATCTGGAATTTCACAACTATTTGGCTAAGGTCGCTACAATATTATCTTCCTGGAAGCACAGAGACACTATACCGCTCAACACATTTTTAATTTAGTTTCTTGCAGCTATTATTTTGGCTGACAAATATTTATGGATTCTATAATATGTAAAACAGTGGGCTGTGCTGATTTTGTTGACTGGCTCAATCACAAGCCTCATACACAGCAAACACTGCCATTAAACTGTAATAATACCAAAGGAGGAAGATGAGTTGCTAGCAATAGCAGAACTGAATCATCCAGGATGTTCCCACAATTCCTCATGGCCAATGATAACTCCTATTTGGACCTCACAAAAGGGATCCAAAATAGTCCATGGAAGGAAGTGCCTTGCTGTCCACATTCAAAAGTAAGATTTGACATAGAGTCAGAAGAGTACATGATACAAAACAAGTGTGGAGACCAGACAGGAAGAGAGCAGGTGAGATGTTTGATAAGAAAAGGGAAGATTCCAACTGGAGTATATTGAGCAGGCTGTCTCACTATGATCTCTTCCCAAGGCATTTATGGCCTTGGGAAGCTGTAAGTGTAATGTTTATTTATTTCCATATGTGGCTTATTTCTTAATAGATTTCTTACTAGATAAAACCATTGGGATTTGGGGGGTAATTCTAAACATAAAAATTAGAGTTTTGAGTTATTACAATGAATGGATCTCTGAATCTACATGTGGCATAAACTGATATTTGACTTAACAATTTCAGTGATGTTGATGAGAAACATATTATTATGGTCAGGATCAGACAATGTATCTGAAAAGCAGGGATATGAGAAATAAACATGTCCTATCTTATGAGGAAATGGTTTGTCCGTATTAAGTAAAAAAAGGGGGGAGGGGGGAGGAAACATGTAGGTACCAAGCACAAAGAACAAAGCAATTCTTTCCAGGAGTTTTCTATGCTGAGTGATGTGATGGAGTGTATCTACAGAGGGAGAGATGGTGTGATTTATTTATTTGATTTGCCAATTGTTTACAAGATAATAAGTATAAGTGTATACATAGTTGTGAATACATGAAATGGGTACATATAAGAAAAATAAAAGAATAAGAGAAACAATAGGACAGGGACGGTAGGCACGTTGGTGCGCTTATGCACGCCCCCTACAGACCTCTTAGGAAAGGGGTGAGGTCAATAGTAGACAGTCTAAGGTTAAAGTTTTTGGGGTTTGGGGAAGAAACTACAGAGTCGGGTAGAGTATTCCAGACATTGACCACTCTATTGCTGAAGTCGTATTTCCTGCAATCAAGTTTGGTGCGGTTAACTTTGAGTTTGTATCTATTGTGTGCTCTTGTGTTGTTATGGTTGAAGCTGAAGTATTCATTGACAGGTAGGACATTGCAATGTATGATTTTATATACCATGCTTAAATCAGACCGAAGACGGCGTAATTCAAGGTTTTCTAGTTCTAGAATTTCAAGTCTGGTGGCATAAGGTATTCTACAACGAGTAGAGGAGTGGAGAACTCTTCTTGTGAAATATTTCTGGACTTTCTCAATTGTGCTAATATCAGATACGTAATGTGGGTTCCAGACTGATGAACTGTATTCGAGTATTGTCTAGCAAATGTTTTGTATGCTCTGGTTAGTAGTGTGATATTACCAGAGAAAAAGCTACGTAGGATTAGGTTAACAATGCCTTTTTGGCTATGTAGTTGCAGTGGGCTCTAGCACTTAGATCATTAGAGGTGAGTATTCCAAGGTCCTTTACAGAGCTTGGATCATCAACAAGATCTTGACTATTCAGCTTGTATTTTATTTTCTGATTCTTTTTGCCAATATGTAAGACAGAGCATTTATTTGTTGAGATTTGAAGTTGCCATTTGTTTGACCATTCTGATACATAGTGATGGACTACAATGAAGTGGCACATTGGGGGGATGGGGTAGAACAGAAAGAGCATAGTCCAGAGCTGGATTTTTTTAAAAAAAGAGGAAGAGATCAGGCGTAATTATTCACTAGCATCTCCCCAGTTTATATCTGTTAAGAGTTCAGAGTTGTATAGGTTTAGTTTGGTAAGATTCTGTCTATATTGTGTTAGCAAATTATTGGATTGTTCCGTGTTATTTTTAGGCTTGGCTTGACAGTATTGGTATTCTAGAAATTAATATTTTTGATATAAATCTAGCTTCTGATTTCACAGAACATGGGAAGACAAATCATTATCATGAATTAAGTTTCTAGACCTAAGGAGCACTTTGAAATAATGTAATGGTTTGTAATTGGTAACACAAATTTGATAAGTCCTCTTTATTTATTACATTTACATTTTTTTTTCTTTCTGGACTCTAGGCATTATAAGTTAGGGTCTTCCTTAATTTTTGCTCCACAATTGTGTAAATTGGACTAAGGGGTCAGTTGGAAAAGGTGCTTATCACTCTTTCTACTGTTTGCCCAGTCACCCAGTTGCTCAAGAGTCCAGTTAGGCCTAGATCCTAATTTTCACATCACACTGGCACATGTCTGCTATTATAATTGCTACTAAAGCAATACTTGTATTTCACATGCAGTTCCTTGAGAAAAAGATAGTAGAAGAAAAATAATTTGTGGATATTTGGTGTGCTTCTCTTATCCTAATGGGCAGTAGTCAAACAAGTACCTGAATATTATTTTGTTTTTGTTTTTGCAGCTCAGATGATGTTATAAAATGAATGTCAATCCCACGGAAGTCAAATCTGTTCTGAAGAGTTTGCTCTCTATCTATATGCAAGACAGGGAAAGGAAACTGAATTATACAAACCCATCTCTTGTACAGCAGGAAGAAATCTCAGCTTCCCTATACATCCTGATTATTATTGGGTTTTTTGGTTTTCTCCTTTTCTCTATGATGCTCAGCAATATTGTTCTCAGGCAGAGGGAAAACTACATGGATTACCTCTTCCAAAATAAATTTCCAAGAAAGAGGATAACTTCCTGCAACAGCATAATGGTACATGCTGGAAAAGGTGTTACAATAGAAGCTAACACAGATTGCCAGTGCCAAAAGACTGACAGTTGCCCAATGGCAGAAATTCCAAGCATGGAATCAGTGCAGAAAAATGTATGAAGGTGCAGTATCATGACCTATTTTTAACTATGGATGATTTTGTTGCCATCTAAAGTATTAGATCTGATTGCACTAACTTGGGCCATTCCTGGCAAGCCTCATTTGGAGCAACCTTTCTATCTACTGTGCAAGAAAAAAAATGTTTCTTTCTAAATTGCATTATAGTTTCCCTATTCTAAACTCCCTTAAGTTTCCACTAATAGTTTGGTAATCCAGTTCAAACTTGTATGATTTCTTTATATTCATGCTGATATACACTTTTGTGATGTGTCCCACATGGACTAAGTAAGCTATCTTCCTTTTCCCCCCTCCTTAATTGTGTGTTTTGTAAAGACTTTTGTTCTTGTAACTGTGTCAATTGTGGAGACCTCCTCACAATCTAAAAGAAATACATAAAGATTGAAAGAGTCAAATCAAGCAAACATTGGCTAGAAATCTAACTTTCCTGCCCTGGTTTATTATTGGCCCATTACCCATAGATAGAAAATTCAAAACAAAGGGAACTTGGAACCCAGAGCTGCAAGTTTTCCCTGAAAATCAGCAGAATCTGAAAATTGTCAAATTGCCATGTTTAATGTGACAAAATAAGGAACTTTATTAAAACCCATGACTAGGGAATAGGCAGGTTAATTATACTGAAGTTTAACTAAATTTAAATGGAAACGAACTGAAGTCAAATTTAGATTCTAACTTACCATTCAAAAGCTAAGTGTGATCTTCGCCAAGGAAAAGTTATGCATTCCTGGCATTATATAATGAATCCAGATCATGTGTTTTCTGTACCACACATCACGGGTGGGCTTCAAAAATTTCAGCAATGGGTTCTCTGCCCAGTTGTTGGGTGGGCATGGCCATGATGGGCATGGCCTTGTTGGCCTCCTGCACCATGGGGGGAGGGGGGTTTGCCCTCCCCAGGCTCCGGAGGCTTTCGAGTCTCTGGGAGGGTGAAAACTGCCTCTCCCAGCCTCCGGAGGCCGGAAACATTTCTGGCCTTCCGGAACTTCTGGGAGGCCTTGTTTTTCGCCCTCCCAAAGCTTCCAGGTGAGCTCTGCACTTACCTCACATCCAAAACGGGTTGCGTGGAGACTCCTGGGAGGGGCGGAACTGGGTGGCAGTGGCAGGGTGGGGTGGGTGGGGCCAGCCAAGGGTGGGATTTAGCGGTTCTCTGAACCAGCCATAACACTATCTATGGGTTCTCCAGAACCTGGGCAAACCTGTAGCAGCCCACCCCTGCCACACATTGTCAAAACAAAGATGGATTGAGAAGTTGAGGGTGTTCTTTACTGTAGCCCAGGGGTCCCCAACCGCCGGTCCGCGGACCGGTACCGGGCCGCGGAACAAGCCTTACCGGGCCGCTGGTTGCTGGGCGCCGCCATCTTTTTTTGGTAAAAAAAGCAATTTTTCGTCAAAAAAGATGGCGGCGCCCAGCTGACACCGGAACCGGGCCGCGGCGCCCAGCTGACGCCGGAACCGGGCCGCGGCGTCGAAAAGGTTGGGGATCCCTGCTGTAGCCCACAATTCTTGTAACACAGTATTTCATTCTAGTGACTGCTTATACATCACAAAGAAGGGGGAGGGGGAAACCACTTTGAAAAGAAAGGATTGTAAGTAGACATCATTCTTCTCATGTAGATCAAGAATCCCCAACTTGTGGTGTGTGGCCCATTACCAGGCCATGGGCTAATCACCTTGGGCTGCATGAGGGGCCAGATGGTGTGCGCTGAAATCTGCTGCTACCCTCACTATTTTTAACTTATTTACTAAATTCTTTAAACCCTATAGCCAAATTCTCTGGGTGGTTTCAATAAAAGTAAAAACAAAAGCATGTTCAGTACAGTAAAATTCAAAATAAAAACACCCATAAACTATGCAGCAGAAAGCTGGTCAGTCAAAGACTAAAACAATAGAAATTAAAAGGGGATTAAAACATACTTAATACCCAGCTTAAAAGGCAGAGAAAATGAAAAGGCTTCCACCTGAAGTGAAAACGATGCTAGCATGGATGCCAGGCAAGCCTCTCTGAGGAAGAAGAAATTCCATTAATGGACTTCCACCAGAGAAAAATCTCTCCCTCTTGTAGAGGCCTATCTTACCTCCTTTGGCGATGAGATCTGGAGGAGAACTTCAATGGAAAATTTTAAAGACTGCGTAGATACATATGGGAAATGGTGCTCCTGATCCTAAATTGTTTAACAAGTTGAAGATCAAAAACAACACTTTGAACCTGATCCAGAAATGGACCTGCAGCCAGTATGGATAGCAAAGAACCATCATAATCAATTTATTGACCAGTCCCAGGAAGCAATCTAGCCACCATATTTTGAATTAGAATATTTCTGAACTGTTTTCAAAGGTAGCCTGTTGTACAACACAATAATCCAATCTGAAGTTACCTGAGGTGTGAGTCACTATTGTGAGACTGTCTTTGTCCAGGTAAAGTTGCAATTGATAAATCATAAATGGCACTCCGTGCCACTGGGCCAACCTGGATCTGTAATGATAGTGATGGACCTAGGAATATCCATCCCTTTCAAATTATGAACATGCTCCTTTAAAGGGCAGATGCTTCCAGGATAGGTATGACATCAGTTAGCTGAACCGATGCATCACTGACAAGCAATGTTTCGGGGTTGCCTGGACTGAATCCCAGTTTATTGGCCTTCATCCATGTCCATTATCCTGTCCAAGGACTGATTCAGAATGCTGAATCCCTCATGTGCTTTAGATGAAAAGGAGAAGTAGAACTAGGTGTCTTCTGCATATTGATGTCACCTTAGCCCACTTCCCTGGATGACCTCTGCCAGCCTGAAACTGGACTGAAATGGATCTAGATGAATCAGTCTCAATCAAAAGAGCCTGAAGTGGATGAGCCAGCATCCATTCAAGTACCTTGGTGAGAAAAGGAGTATTGGCCACAGGCATGTAAGTTTTCTTTCTCTGAGATCAGATTTGAATTCTTTAGAAATGATTTAGAAATTTTGGTTTCTGAACACATCATTAAACAAAGACAACCTGTGTAGTTGGGTAGCTGTATGGTAAAAGGATAAGAAACCCCAACATTCCATCTTCAACCAGCCTGATGACCTTTGACATTCCATCTCCATCTCCATTCCATCTTAACAACGGACTTCCCCAGCATTGTTGCCACTCTTCAAGGGGCCATTTTGCCTAACAATTGAAATAACTTCAGATATACAAAGACCTGCCTAGTTTCCCCTAAGCGGCCAGCAAATCAGATCCCTAGGATTTCCTACCATGTAGTTCTCAAACATCTTTACTTTCTCATTTTTCAGAATTCCTCATTTGTGGAAAACAGGCACCCAATGACTGTTACAATGAACATGGTTCTTTCTCCTCTGTGTTGGGTTCTGAACTTCTGAATTTTCCACAACAGTTAATATTTTGTCTGCTTTTGTGCTTCACAAATGTAGCCTATTAAATCATTCTTCTATTTTGGATTTTTTTTTCTTTGATGCTCACTTTTAGGAGACTTTTATAAGAAATTAAGATGTACCAAGGAGTCATTCACTGCACTTAATTGAAAAAAAATAAACTTAGCTGGAAAAATTATTCTGAATTTAACACACCCTGTCCCCAAAGGAAAACTAGACAGAAGAAAAAGAAGCATTGCTTAGTAACAGCCGACCTTCAGGCAAATCTTTAGATACATTCTTGCTTTTCAGCAGGGGTGTTTGCAGATGTTTGCATCATTAACCCACGCCTTTCTTACCAACTGTTACTTCTATTCTTATTAGAAAATGTTAAGATTCTGCCTCATTCTGCCTCATTCCCATCCCTTGCATACCAATCCAGAGGTAATGGTTTGGAATATAATATTTTGGCTTCCTATCAGGATAAATCATGCTGTTTGTTCCAGTTTACTTATTTTCAGATGCACTTCACTTTCCCCATCACATTGGACATTTTTTTCAAGTTTTTTTTTCTTAATTTGATGATAGACCTCTACAAACTGAACATAATTTCAGAATGACGATATCACACAGGAATCTTGAAAAATATGAAATTAACTTTGAATGACAATAATGTATTTAATCACGTAAAGTTTTTGACATGGTGCATGAGTTCAACAGAGCTAAAAGTGTTTTGCTGCTGAATTTCATTTCTATTCAATCTCCAATGCATCTTGCTGCAGTGTCCAACAATGATCAGCCAGCATTGATGGATTCCTGTTGCCCCAATATCATTTCTTTTGTGTGGCAATATCCTGGTGAAACCTTTCACCATGCTTGTCACTGATAGCCTCTAGTAAGAAATCCAAGTGTGAATGCTGAAAATGAATCTTCAATAACATGTTGCACTAAATGGTCTTGCATGCTGTAAGATGTTTGTCAACCGTGTGAATGTAGCTTGATGCTCTTTAGTTACCAAGAAAATTGTCAACAACATTCTTGAATGTAATTCTCTCTGGCCGCACAAACAGATCTTCACACTGCTCATCATTGATGATGTACTGTATCTGATCTATTGACCCACAAAAATGCCCTCCTTAATCTTGGCATCAATTATTCTTGAAAACATTTGTCCCAAATAACAAAAACTTTTGTTTTTCATCAATCCAAGATTTATGTGAGCAGAAGCAAAAATGTCTTTGTCACATCATCAAATGGTTCATGTGCCATGTTTCTTCTGTCCCAGAACCAAATTATTTTGGGGTGGCCATTTTTAAAAAAATATGTGACTCTCTTGCATGTTTGTTCCATTCGTCTATGCAACAACAGTACTTGGTATATGCAAGTTGCATTCTATGCAGCAGAGGCACTACCTTTAGACCTCCATAGATATTCTAGTTATACTTGGTGTATTGGATGTGCTTTTACAGTAGTTCCATGTTTTTGTATATTTCTTTCATGCGTGCAGCATAGCCAACAGTTACTGAAAGGTGTATATTGCCATTGTGTAAAAATATGCAGAAGACTTCTATAGAACAGTACATGATAAATTATAGGTTGCTTTCATAATTAGCAGCCATAAACCTATTACACCAAAAAGTGTTCAGGAAGCAAAATCCTTATTGTCCAGTATTATTTATCCATGACACATGAATGCATAATTCAACTTTTGTTTCACTTTTTTTTCTTTTGATGACCCTTTAATCCCTTTATTCAGCGTGGAGTTGGGGCAACTGAATGGAGGTGAGCATTTATTGGCCGGATGCCCTTCCTGACGCCTTTAGTTTTTTTTTTTCTTCTGGTATTACTAAGAAATACAGGCAGTGAAATCCATTATGAGATCATCAATATCCCTGGGCATCATTAGAATTTTCTGTGCAGTTCAATTTTGCTAGGAAATCCATGATGCATCGCATTGTAAACCCACTATTAAAACACATTATTCATCGGAGTTCCCACGACGCTACATCAAGAAAACTATGTCTGCAGTATTTAAAAAATTTAAGAACTCTGCACCTTAATGACTACAAGACTATATTTTTAGGTGAAACTGATCTTTCTGAAAGTCTCATAACAGGAGACAAGTTTCCTTATGAAAATAATCTCAACTGGCCTATGTGGACAGTTGTACATGCTGGCAACAGCCAAGGATGGGTACCCTGGAGATACAGAGTATATCTAAGGGATGATTTACCCTTAGGGCAGCAGGACGACATGTTTCAGGAATTCTGTGACTTTCTCTCTATTACTTATGGGAAGTGTGCCATTGTGGTCAAAGAGAAAAAACGCTTAAGGGTGAAGACTGAAGCATCTAACCAGGAAGGGGACATAATCGATCCTCAGGCCATTTCTCACCCCTACTTGTTGAACATCAAACAATGCCCTGAAATTGCCAAGGCTGCAGGTCACGAACTTCTTTCAGTGCCTTTTGATTACAACTACTTGCATCCTATGGATGCTGTCTGGTCATCTTTGAAATGGTTTATTATCAATAACCGAAAAGACTTTTCTCTGACATCCTTGGAAAGGACCTATTCATACCAGTGCATCCTCTTCAGTGACCTGATTGGGAAAGGAATAGAGAAAACAAGCCCAACCAAATGGAAAGTGGCTGTTAACAAAGTGCGGAGATGGGAAAATTACTATTTGGATAAGTTTTCCTGACAGCTTCCAGACATTTGTCAAGTGATCTTTGGTTGAAAACTGGCTAATTCATATATTAAACGTGCATTTTCACTTTATAATTCTAGGTCAATGATAATAATAAAAAATAGTTTTAAAACAACTTTTAGTGTTATAGTATTAGATTCACATGCCATTTAAGTAGATTAATTTAATTTTGTCATTATGTGGACAAACAGCTATTTGTAAATATGTAGATACTTTGAGGATAGGAAAAAAGAAAAATAAGAACAGTTATTAAGAAATTAAGATTTCTTAAATTAAATTACATTAAGTTAAATAATTTAAAATAAATTAATTTAATTAAGTAACTTATTATTAAGAAATTAAGTTTTGTTAAATTAAATTACATTAAGTTAAATAAATATATTATTTTAAATAAATTAAAAATTAAGTTAACAATTAAGAAAAACAAAGATGTAATCCATATCCCAAATTCATGAAGATGTACACTTTAATTGGATCACCTTGATTCTCATAACAGTGTTAAAACAAAATTATAAGAGCAAAAAAAAATATGATGGGTTCCATTAGAGAGATTTCCTTCTCTTCTAGAATCTTTCCACATTTTCATGAATAACAAAGAAGTAGTCTAAGTCAGTCAAGGGACAGAGGTGGTCACCCCAATAAATAGGTGGGTGGAGGAGAAGTATGGTTAAATCTTTGTTTTTTACAAACACACTTTTCTAAAAACCTTTTCTCTCCCCAAATCTAGTTACAAATCAGAATTCCTGGCCCTTGGCTGCATTGTATTTTAAGCTGACTTATTCTGGTCAAATTTCATCCAATTACACCAAACCTCCAATACTTTTTGAGGTGACTAAGAGATTTATGGATTTTATATTTCAGGTTCCTAAAATGAGTACATTTTATTTTTGGTAGTACAATTCGGAAGAATAAAAATAAATGGAAGAGTCCAACCAATGCTAAATAAATTGGGGTACTTTTGTGCTTAAATTTGAAACCACTATTGTGATGCTGAAGTAATAATCAGCCACAATTATATTCTAGCAATTCATATATTGAAATAGCTTCCAAAGATGTTTTGTGGCTATACCCCTGAAAACACAAAATAAATATGAATACTGTGGTAGAGACTCAAATTCCAAATCGGATGCATTTGGCAGAACATTGGCCACATCCAGGGCATAATTCCATGGTTTTAAAAAATAAGGCGAAAAACAAATCTATGAGGTACATTATACAAGGAAAATGAATTACAATTAACACAAATTCTCTCTTGAGTTCTCTGTGCTATTGGTCACCCTCGCCTCCTTTTTGGTTCTCTTTTTTCTCATTTCAGACTTTCTATGTACCATTTCTCCCCTTGGAGTTATGCTTATACTAAGTTTGCCAGTATCACCCAAAAAGACTTTTCTCTCTTCTGGAAATTGACACATTGGGAAATGCTAGTTTAGCTGGATGAATGGTTAAATGGGAACAATATTCTTAAAAGACTCCCACATGTTTTACTGTATATCCGTTTATCCAAAAATTTTCTTAAAATAGTGATACTGGTACCCTTCAAATCCATCTTTAGATGGAGAGGATACAAGTGGTTCTTGACATTTCTGCTATACCAGCAATAATAAAAAGACCTTTTGAATTTAGTAGTAGTCATTTCCAAACATTTACAGCACTCCACTGTCAGCCTATGATATTTTTTTCTATTTAGGGTGACTTTCATCGTGGTTAGCCACAGCAAATCACCACATTTCCACAGGATGGCAGTACATGATATTAATGTGCCACAGACCTTTGTGTTCTAGTGCAAGCAGTGCCTCTCATTCTTGATTCATGTTTAAGTGGGGGGAATAATTGGCAACATAGGTTCCTCCAAATGTTGTCCAGTTGTTTTCTCAAAAGCCCTAGCTAGGATGGCTGATGAGAGTTGCTTTCAGCAACATCTGAAAGCTGGTCCATGGACTTCTTTCCCAACTTGTTAATTAAAACAAAAAGAAATTGGATAGCAGAGATCAGTTTTCTCAGCAGCAAATGGAAGAATATGTCTCCAAGCTACAAAAAGAGAAATGGAATCCTTTAAAAGTCACATTGAATGCAAATGGAAATTTAAAAAGAGCCAAAGTAAAATTCTTATCAGACTCTCAATATGAAAGATTGTGTCCCAATTGATGCACTTTGTCTGGAAACAGCAGAATTATAAAATGAATATTCAGCATCTCCCATTTTCATTCGTATAAAATGTACCTGCTGATATGACTTGTACTCTGTGCAAATTTAAAGTACTTTTATAACTAATCTGGCTCCAAGAATAACTCAAATCATCACATTACATTTAAGTGGCTTCTTCTTAGTTTAAACATGAAGATTAAAACTGAACCTAATGAGCCTTTATACAGTAACAGTAGGGTCATTATTTCACTTGTATAAAAGGGCCAAAGGAAGAAGTTTGTAAAAAATCTGCTAAGGCAATATATCATCTCACATTGAGAGAACTATCTCTCTTGGTTATTAGAAAATGAGCTATGAATTAGGTAATTTAAAATTTATTAGGGCAATGCAAACAATCATACTCTTTTTAAACTATGTATTAATTTAGAGCCTATATTAAGGATTTTAAAGTTCTATATTCATGTTTAACTTCAAGACCAAGAAAAAGCAACACAAGAGCTTATGAAGTTTTTCTTCAATTTAGTAAAGTTGCAGCACAAGACTATAATATTTACTGAGAAACAAGTCCTATTATATTCAATGGAATTTTCTGCCATGCAAGAGTGCAAAGAACTACAGCCTTTAATTTTGTGATATATTGTGCCCAAAGTTACGAGTGAAGTCATTTGCAGGCCTGCTCATTTGGAAGTATAACTCAGTTCAATAGGAATCCCAGCATTGCAGATTTTAGACTTTAGCATTTATATATTTTCTGCTTCCATGTTTCTCACAAAATAAGGCCAGGCCTTATTTTTTTGAGCCCTGAAAAAACGGCTAGGATGTCTTTTTTTGGGGTAAATTAATTTCCCCCCCCCCCCCCCCCGTGCACCAGCGCCGTCTCTAACAACAGCACCTGAGTCGCTCCTGCTTTTCCCCTGTCCCGTAACAACAGGGAAAAAAAAGATTTTGAGGTACCTGGGAGCGCCGCGCACTGAGCTTTGGTTTAATCCCGAGCGGCTGGGTGGGCGTGAGAAAAGCTGAGCGAGCATCTCTGCTGCTGCTACCCTTGGTGCTCCAGCCTTGGGCTCTGCAAGTTTGCAAAAGTCCTGGTCCGCAGCCCATTCCTGCATTCCAAGCACCCAGGCCAAGCTGCAGCTGTCCCTCTCTCGCCAGCGCCGTCTCCAATAACAGCGGCAGCAGCAGTGGGAACCGTGGAAGCATTTCAGCCGCTTCTCAGGAGGGGGGAGCTGCCTCCGTAACTTCCACGGTTCCCACCACTGCTGCCGTTGTTGTTGGAGACGGCGCTGGCGAGAGAGGGACAGCTACAGCTTGGCCTGGGTGCTTGGAATGCAGGAATGGGCTGCGGACCAGGACTTTTGCAAACTTGCAGAGCCCCAGGTTGGAGCACCAAGGGTAGCAGCAGCAGAGACGCTCGCTCGGCTCTTCTCACGCCCACCCAGCCGCTCAGGATTAAACCAAAACGCAGCACGCGGCGCTCCCAGGTACCTCAAAATCTTTTTTTCCCTGTTGTTACGGGGACAGGGGAAAAGCGGGAGTGACTCAAATGCTGTTGTTGGAGATGGCGTTGGCGAGAGAGGCGCCAGCACCGGTGGAAACCATGGAAGCTACGGAGGCCTGAGAAGCGGCTGAAATGCTGCCGGACATCCATGCCGCCGCCGCCCGCCTGCTGACCCGGGTAAGGGAGGGGTAAGGGAGCCCTCCGTGCTCCACCATGATTGGCTGTTAGGAGCGGCTGATGGTGAGGCGTAGCTGCCCCCGGGGCACTCCTAATGGCAAGTTCCCCCCCGCCTCCCCCCCATTTCACATGTTTTAAACTAGGCCTAAATTTGGGGGGAGGGGCTTAATTTCATTTTATGCCTAGAAAACATGCTGGGTCTTCCTATGGGGGGAGCGTATTGTTGGAGAAACACGGTACATATAGTTTGTATCTTCAAGACAGGGTGAAGAGTAATGACTTGATCAAATGTGACATTTTAAGACTGTACCTCTGTAGTTGCCCCTAAGTAACTTTTCAAAGCAGATACTGGGGAATGAAGTGTTAGGGACTGCAGCCATAGAGCATACCTGTTCTGCTAAGCATTATCTATTTTATTGGGAGAGACAGACAGCAGTAGATGTAATACCTGGTTCCTTTTCCTTTCCAGTTCAAAGTGTAGTTTTAAAACCAATAGAACAGTCAGGACCAATCTAATTTAATTATTTTCAGTAGGATGTATTCATGAGCAATACTGACACTACTAGGCTGCAAAGAAGGTTAGTTTTCCTCTTGCATAGGAGAAAAATCAATTAATTATCTCACTGGAAGGTCCTTGAACAAAAGGAACACAACATGCAGGATTCCAAATGATACCAGTTTTGCAAAGGAAGATTTACTGAATAAATAACTGACAATATCCTGCTACTATCTGTAACAAAACAACAAAATTAAAATACATTATTCAAATCAATCTTGATCTTAGGGAATTCATTTCTCCAGCATAGTTCTCCATTTCAGTGAAATCTTCAATGCTTCTCAGAAAGGCATCCAAGTCGGCTGCAACATGTCAGAAAATCTGCACACAAAATAGAACGGTTCTATTTGCAGCAGCTAGTAAGTCTACATCTTCTCATGCAAAAAGCAACATGCGAGTTGGGAAATAAAGTTCTGCTTTGATATCATGGGCTCCTAAGTGATACTGCAATCCCTTACAACTCCTAATGCTACTGTACCTAAGGTCCAGCTGTCTGCTTGGCTTCAATTTCACAGCTCAAATCTCAGCCTATCCTATTCTCTGCAGACAAAAAATTAGGATTGGGAAGGAAAACGGGGACTTGAGGTTTTGCTCTTCTTTTTCTTGCTACTTCCTCCCAGCTTACTATGTACACAACTTGACATCTTTATTTTGTTTGCAGAAGACAGTGCCAAAGTTTTATAATACAAGCTAAAGGGCACTGTCACCCTACCTGGTAGGTGACATTTCAATACGCAATCTTTATCCATTTGAAAGCACACAGTGCTGGAACTAATCTGAAAGCTGCATGCAAAATGGGGTGGAATGTGAATTGCACAATCCAATCTCCTTTTTGATCTTTTTTTCCCCCTTTTCTTTCCTTCCTTTCTTGTTAGAAAATAAAATCAAGAAAGAAACGGACCA